AAGACTTGCAGAGGTTAGCAGATGAGGCACGTACTCTTAAAGATGAATTGGATGTCCTAAGACACAACTCTGATAAAGTTGTAGGTGTTTTTTCAAATACTTAATACCTATTTCATTAGTTTCCTTAAAATTAATGTACTGTACTCCAGTTAAATAAAACAAGTAGGAATTGAATCAAAGTTTAATCATGACTAACTCCAGAAGTGATACTTTTACCGTCATTAGTAGTATTTCATTATCATCAGAATGTTTTCTTAACTCTTATCCTAACACAACTAAACTAAAAAGTTCAACTAAATCAGTTGGGGGATAGTCATGATGAAAGTCTGGTTCAAGAAAATGTGTCAGTTAATGTCACAAAATTTAGGAAAATAAGAAGGAATTGATTAAATTATTTCACTTCAAATGTGTTATAAATTCTTTTTAACATGTCCTAGAAAACTTGAATAGCTTCACATGTAAGCATAGACCAATTACTGTGTTAGTTTGTCAGATTTGTTATTTAATTATACAGAAATATTTTTCATTTAGAACTTCAAGACATTTACACAACTACTGCAATCTTGTATAGAATCTGTTTAATTATAGGGTTTGAGGATATTCTGAGTAAATCTTGCAATTAAAAGTGTGTTTGTTTGTCAGATTTGTTATTTAATCCCATTTTATACTGAAATATTTCTCATTTAGAAATTCAAGACATTTACACAACTACTGCAGTCTTGTATAGAATCTGTTTAATTATAGGGTTTGAGGATATTCTGAGTAAATCTCGCAATGAAAAATGTGTTTGTTTGTCAGATTTATTATTTAATCCCATTTTATACTGAAATATTTCTCATTTAGAAATTCAAGACATTTACACAACTACTGCAGTCTTGTATAGAATCTGCTTAATTATAGGGTTTGAGGATATTCTGTGTAAATCTTGCAATTAAAAGGGATTTTTTCCATTTATATTATTAAAAAAATTAACATATAATTTTCTCTTTGATACTGCTTCAGGCTAGAATACAGTCTGCATGTTGATCTTGTAAACAAATATTGATATACCTTGATGTGGTGGGCTTTGATAAAAGTATCACACAGTTGTGAACTTAATTATGCTTCTCCTCCAAGTTTTTTCATAACTTCATATTTATTACACTTTAAAAAAAGATCTAATATTATGTGAGCATTGAGGTGCAAATGAATCTTGTTTTAATTAATAATTTATCAGTTATAAATAATTTTCCAAATTTATAAACAAAAAATGTTTTTGGCAGGACAAATGCTTCAGTTCTGTGGTAAGGTGTAGATACAAATGAGTTAATATAGTTAATGAGTTAATACTCTATAAAAGAAAGTTAACTAATATCTTTTAGGTTTTTTATTGATATTTTGAGGTATCAGTTTGTCTTAATTCCAGTATTTTGTTACATGTTGTTATTGTTGTTTTTAAATGTTACCCTGAACTTAACATTTTTCCAGTGATAAAATTTCATGTACATGAAGGTTGCCATGTACAATAAATCAGTCTGTTTTTTGTTTAATGACCATTTATTTGCCTTTCTATTATACAGGAACAGTATGAAACTACAATTGAAACATATAAAAAGAAATTTGGTAAGTAAATATAACATTTAGGTTAAATGTTGTTGTTTTTCTGTAGTTCTCTAGGTTAAATGAGTCAGTATACAATGTGAAATATCTTTAGATTCTCTCTTCCATTGGTATCTCTATCCTATAGAATCATTTTTTTTTGTTATTTGTATTTTGAAAAACTAAAAAAATGAAAATAGAGAAGAAATATCAATTATTAAAGATAATAAAAATATAAATGAACTTTTCATATGCAACAGCTATATTGTTGCATGTATCATTGTGTGTGTAAGATATTTGTAAACTGGAACCTATGATTGGATTCAAAGCTCTATGGTAGTTTTGTTGTTCTATAAGAAAATAGTTACATAAGAGTGAGTTTCTTTTTACTTTCAGAGGATTTAGTTGTTCTTAAGAAACAGCTAAAGGTGTTGGAGGACAAGAACACTTCTTATATGCAACAAAACATGGAGTTGGAAGAGGTAAGATATACTGAATTATTTCGATGACGAGGAACCCACTTTGAGACTAATAATGGCTGGGAGACGGGACTTAAATGGGTAAGTAGAA